CTTGACTCAAGCATAATATACTCCGTAATTGGTGTTAGTTATTTTGTTTCATAATTCATGTGGTCGCTGCTTTACGTGGGTGAAATATTTGTACACTTCCTATATTAATTATTTCCATATTTATTGGTGCCATTGTTGTTCATACTCATTCTTTACTTATATAATCCTACCATTTTTAGTGCTAAATTGGTATGACTCACTATTCTTCTCATTCTTCCAAGTTGGGCAGTGCTTGTCAAAGGAGGCGTGTTCTTGCTTACAGGAAGTACACTTCAGCTTGCTAGCTTGAGTGTGAATGTTTACCTGTGTGCATGTTTGTATATGACTGTATGTGTGCTTTATGCGTGAGTGCATGGGCGTGTTATGTATGTGTGTGTGTGAGTGTGTGTTTGCCATTCTAACTCTTGTCCTATTTATCTGTCCTTCTTTATCATTCTTTAGTCTTTATCACTTGTCTGTTTGTCTGTTCTGGGAGAAAAATGAAGGAGGCCACGAGGATGTTGAAAATTCCTCAAGGGGGGAATGGAGTGAAAAAGGTTGAGAACATAAGAACATAAGAACATAAGAATGTAGGAATGGAGGAAACTGCAGCGGGCCTATTGGCCCATACTGGGTAGTCCCGTTTACACCCAACCCCGAATGCTCATATAAGCATCCAACCAATGTTTGAAGCTATTCAGCGTATTCGAGTTAATGATGATATTTGGCAACTTGTTCCATTCATCCACAACTCTGTTTCAAAACCAGTGTTTACCTATTTCACGACTAAATAAAAATTTGTCTAATTTAAAACCATTGTTACGAGTTCGCTCCTGGTTGGATAGTTTGAATACCTTTGTAATGTCCCCTTTGTTTAGCCCTGACTTCCACTTATACACCTCTATCAGGTCGCCCCTCGCTCTACGTCTCTCGAGGGAATGCAAATTAAGGTGCTTTAACCTGTCTCTATACTCAAGGATCCTAATGCCCGGGATTAGTCTTGTCATTCTCCTCTGAATTCATTCCAATGATTCTATATCCATTCTGTAATACGGTGACCAGAATTGAACTAAGTAATCCAGGTGTGGTATCAAAAGAGCAAGATACAGTTTTAGGATGACCTCGCTAGTCTTGTAACTAACACTCCTTTGTATGAACCCAAGTACTTTATTAGCCTTGTTACGAGCAAAAACACATTGTTTACTTGGCTTAAGGTTCCTACTTATCTTTACTCCTAAATCTCTCTCGCAGTCGGATTTCTCTATGGCATCGTTGTTCATCTGGTATCTGGTTTCCCTGTTTACATCTCCTATACTGAGAAATTTACATTTGTCCACGTTGAATTTCATCTGCCATTTTTCAGACCATTCGAAAAATTTGTTTAGATCTTCCTGTTGTTTTCCGGAGTCCTCGTCAGATTTAATTACACGTCCTATTTTAGTGTCATCAGCAAATTTACTTATGTTGCTGTCTATGCCGATATCTATGTCGTTTATGTATATAATAAATAATAATGGTCCAAGTACTGAGCCTTGGGGAACTCCACTTGTGAAGTTGCTCCAATGGGACTTAGTGCCGTTAATGCTCACTAGCTGTTTCCTGTCCTGTAACCACGCCCTAATCCATTTAAGGATGTTACCTTTGATGCCATAAGCTTCTACCTCTCTAATTAGTCTTTCGTGGGGGACTCTGTCGAAGGCTTTGCTAAAGTCGAGATATACTACATCATAATTGTGCCCCTCGTCCACCAATTCGAAAACTGATGAAAAGAATGTTAATAGATTAGTTAGACAAGAACGTCCTCTTGTGAAGCCATGCTGGGAATCATTGATCAATAGGTGCTTCTCCAGGTGATTTCGAATAGAGTTTGAAATGATTGCTTCCAGTAATTTGCCTACTATTGATGTTAGACTGATTGGGCGATAGAGGATAGTGATCTATCCCCCTTCTTGAAAATCGGTATTACATTCGCTATCCTCCAGGATTCTGGTACTACACCTGTTTTTATGTACATGTTAAACAACTTAGCTAAGGGCATACTAAGCTCTTCCTTACATTCCTTTAATACTCTGGCAAATATCTCATCGGGACCAGGTGACTTATTAGGCTTTAGTTTGTCTATTTGCTTACTAACATCGTTACTAGTCACTACTATCTCGCTTAATTTGTTTTCTTCACTATCTCTGAATAGAGTCGGTGCCTCGGGTATCATGTTTAAATTTTCGGTGGTGAAAACTGTTGAAAAATATTTATTCAAATTATTGCTCATTTCTCCGTCGTCATCAGTGAGCTCGCCGGTATCTGACCGTATTGGTCCAATCTTTTCTCGTGTTTTAGTTTGATACATTTGGTAGAATGCTTTGGGGTTTGTCTTCGCCTCCCTTGCTATCCTTTCCTCATTATTCCTCTTGGCTTTCCTTATCTCGCTTTTAACCCTACTCGCCAATATCTTATAATAATCCTGGAGGTAAATTTCGCCACGCTTTATCCTTCTACCTATAGCCTTCCTTTGGCCAATGATGTTCTTTAAATAATTATTAATCCATTTAGGGTCATTGTTGTCTGATCTGAGTCTTTTGTATGGTATGTTCTGCCTCTATGCATTAAGTAACACATTATTTAAAATGAGGTGGAACTCGGCAGTCTCAGATGTCGTTATCAGGTCGGAGTCATCTGTCAGGTTCACGGCCAAGCGCGACACCCCCTCTCTCAGCTGCCTCTTTAAACTGTCAAAGTTTGCCCTTCTGAAATCTGGTACTTCAGTGGAATTTTCCTTACGTCTGCCCTGAAAATCTAACTGGAATCGAATTTCTTTGTGATCGCTGTTTGCAAGTTCGTTCCCTACCTCGACATTGCTAATGAGGTTTTCTCTGTTCGACAGAACTAAATTGAGTATATTATTACCCCTTGTGGGTTCGGTTACATGTTGACTTAGGAAACAGTCCTGGATCGTCTCGAGACAATCCTCTGACTCTGAGTTAACCGTAAGGTCAGTCCAATCTATTTGGCCAAGGTTAAAGTCGCCTACTATACAGACTTTGTTGTGTATGGAAGCCCTGCGCATTTCATCCCAGATAAGTCGCTCATTGACTCTTATCAAGATTGGGAGGTCTATATATTACTCCTGTGATTAATTTTTCCCTACCGTCGTTTAATTCTATCCAAATTGTTTCTGTATTCCGCTCAATTTTTATTTCCTTATTTATTTCACACTTCAGATTATCCCTAACATAGATTGCTACTCCGCCTCCTTTCCTGGTTTGCCTATCGGTATGGATCAATTTGTAACCCGCAATTTGGTATTCGACCGGCAACTCGCGTGAGTCTAGGTTGATCCGTGTTTCAGTGAATGCTATTATATCGATTTTTTCGGTACATACCAAGGCCCTAATATCATCCATTTTGTTTCTCATACTTCTACTGTTCGTGTAGCAGACATTTAAGTTAGTCGTGTTCTGAATCCTCCCTTTACCGCGTTTAGTTTTAAACTCCCTGTTTAATTTAGTTTTGTCATCATTCCTAACACTATTTCCCTGTAATCTTTTACTTTGTTTACCCGCTCCCACTGCAGTTTCCCCCACCCCCGTGCCCATATGTTCCCCTAGCAGTTTAAAGACTTCGATATCCTTTGAACTGCCCCCTCAAGAGACCCAGCCAGGGTTGCCACCCCATCCCAAGACAGGTGCACCCCATCATTAGCATAAAGGTCCCTTCTGCCGTAGAAGTTGTCCCAGTTGTCAATGAATGGGACGGATATTGACTTGCAATATCTGTCAAGACGGTCATTGACACCAACCGCCCTTGACAACCATTCACTGCCAACTCTCCTTCTAGGCAGGACACAGCATATGATAGGGATCCCTCCCTTAGACCTAATACGATCTATCGCTGCCTTGAACTTATCAAGAAGCTCCTCGCTCCTACACCGGCCAATATCATTGCCTCCTGCACTGAGGCAGATATTGGGTTTGTTCCCATTACCAGACAAGATATTGTCCATCCTGTCAATTATATCCCCCACCCCAGCTCCTGGCAAACACACCCTCATCCTATTTTTGTTTTGACCACAAAAGGCCCTGTCGACGTACCTTACCTGTGAGTCGCCAACAATTATTTTATACCTTCCTTGCCATCCCTGTCCCTGACTGTACTAACGTCCAATTCGTCTATCAAGGGACTGAACGGGTTGGTACACTTAGCTGTTGTTGTCGTTGTTGTCGTATCCTTGGTGTACTTCTTCACCACCAGCTTGGTCTTCCCACTACTCACAACTTTCCACTCGCTTAAGTTTTCGTCAGACAACCACTGCGTGACTACACTATGGTACTTACTACACTATTGTACACTGGGTTGCTCATTTTTTCACAATGTACACACTACACTACGGTGCACACTACACTATGGTACACACTACACTAAGTACCTGCCAGGCAGTAGATAGTAAGCAGCTACCAAACAGGGAGGTGCTACCACCTGGGAAGATATTGGAACATAATGTGTTGTCTAATGGTAGACCCTGCTGCCATATGGCATCACAAAAATTGTGTGGAAATGGTACACTAGGGCACACACTACACTATGGTACACTAGGGCACACACTACACTATGGTACACTAGGGCACACACTACACTATGGTACACTAGGGCACACACTACATTATGGTACACTAGGGCACACACTACACTATGGTACACTAAGGCACACACTACACTATGGTACACTAGGGCACACATTACTGTAAAGTAGCTGCTTTGGCAGTGTAATGTCGTCCATACAGGTAACGTGGATAATGTTAGCCTCGATGCTGCTACAGTTGGTGTCAGCGAGAATACTGGCATTTGTTCTAAACTAGAATATATACTACACTAGGGTACACACACACTACGGTTCACACTACACTATGGTACACTAGGGTACACACTACACTAGGGTACACACTACACTACGGTACGCTACACCAGGGTACACACTACACTACGGTACGCTACACTAGGGTACACACACTTAGGGCAGCTACTCACGGCTTGACGGTGGCTTGGTCGATGAGGTCGATCTTGTTCTGGACCAACACCATGGGTATGTTACCACACTCGTCCTCCACCTGTAGGTACACACCCAATGTACACCTCATTATGGTACCCACACCTCATGATGGTACACACGCACACACACACCTCATGATAGCACACACACATACACACACACACACACACACACACACACACACACACACACACACACACACACACACACACACACACACACACACACACACACCCCTGATAGTACACACACACACCTCATGATACACACACACACACACACAAACACACACACACACACACACACACACACACACACACACACACACACACACACACACACCTCATGATGGCACACGCACACACACACACACACACACACACACACACACACACACACACACACACACACACACACACACCTCATGATGGTACACATACACACCTCATGATGGTACACATACACCTACATGATGGTACACATACACACCTCATGATGGTACACATACACACCTTATGATGGTACACACACACACACACCTCCATGATGGTACACACACAACTCATGATGGTACACACACACCATGATGGTACACATACACACCTCATGATGGTACACACACACACACACACCTCATGATGGTACACACACACACACACACCTCATGATGGTACACACACACACACACACACCCTCATGATGGTACACACACACACACACACACACCTCATGATGGTACGCACAACCCATGATGGTACACACACACTCATGATGGTACACACACACACCTCATGATGGTACACACACTATATACACCCCATGATGGTACACACACCTCATGATGGTACACATACACACCTCATGATGGTACACACACACACACACACACACCTCATGATGGTACACACACACACACACACACTCATGATGGTACGCACACAACCTGGCGATGGTACACACACACCTCATGATGGTACACATACACACCTCATGATGGTACACGCACTATATACACCTCATGATGGTACACACACACCTCATGATGGTACACATACACACCTCATGATGGTACACATACACACCTCATGATGGTACACACACACACACACACACCTCATGATGGTACACACACACCTCATGATGGTACACACACAACTCATAATGGTACACACACACCTCATGATGGTACACATACACACCTCATGATGGTACACATACACACTTCATGATGGTACACACATTATACAACACCATAAATCAGTGGAGAAAAACAGAGTAAAGTATCATCATAATGTCCCAAATGCGTAACACAAGAATGGATGAGTTGACGGTCGGAATTTTTTCGTAAGATGGCAAGTCAATGGGTAAAGAAAACGTTTAAATTCACAATGGTAATGATATATTTAAATAAATTAGGGCAAAAAGTGTAAAATTTAAGGGTTGAAGTTGCTTAAAAGTCACGTGACTGAGAAAAGCTCTGTGATTGGTTGTGATGTCAATGATTCCCTGGAGCTGCAAAGAGGGAGCGTAGAGGCAGCCAGCTGCGGTGTACAACATCCATTATTAAGTGTTGTTTACCAGCAAAATTACAGGTCTTGTGGCCATATACAATGTTGATCTATATAGACATAACTTATTTTTCGGTCAAAATAAATTACTGCTCAAGTATCATCGTGTGTATTTACTTGCTGGGTGCCAAAATGATGCAAAAGACCGATAACTCCAACATGGAAGTTTTCATCACTGTTCTCTATTTCATGTCTGGAAAATGTAAGTTTTCGTCACTGATGTCTATATTTAATGTTGTGGGAGGACTAGGGATGACCATGGCCACGGGATGGGCTTGAGATGATCAGATGACAGATGTAATTTAACGAGCTTCATAGCTGGATGGCATCTACTTTGGGTAAATTTATTTCATCTGCCCTGATGAACCCTGGAAGTAGTTGTCCAACCTTCTCGGCTGATCGGCTCTAAATAAATATTATTAGATAATTAATTGTGTTTTACTGTGCAACACAGTAATGCTATATTGAATATATAAATATTACTGAGCACATTAACTAATTCAATGGGTATTAGCTGTCCATAAAACAAATTGCATAGTATAAACATTCCAAACAGTATTGGTATTATTTTGGTTTTGGTCATCTGGGGAACCTTACGATTCTAACTATGGGATTAAGTACTTTAAACAATAAGACACATTATCTCTACAGGATTTCTGTTGCAAACATTTTTCGATCGCATAAGAAAATACAGGTCATATGTTAGGTTAGGTTAGGTTAGGTATAATAAGTTATATTATAAGTTATAAGGTTAGCTTAACATACACGGGGGAGGGGGATAGTAACTCAAAACTAGTGATTTCCGATAGAAATGAATGTCAAACTCGTTCATAACACATCGCAAACCATCAGAAAAAACATAGTCTGCATATCTAAGTACAAGGATGACCAAACCTTAAAATTTACCCAATAGCCTATCTCGAATCTAAGCATCCAAATACTTATGGATTATGGTTGTTAAATTTTTTTTACACATTATTTAATATAAATGATGATATATCCCAGTGGTTCATTAGTGAATCATCAAAACAATAACAGCACTATGATGTCATGTTTACCCATGTTTACCAAGCGTCAGGAATTCTCAAAAACAAACTCCAGACAATGTCATTACTTTTCAATTCACTCGTAAAGTCCTCGTATAAAGTCGCCATGCTTTACGTTGTTTCGGTACTATGTCACATTCATAGGCTAGTGGGCCATGGGTTCGAATCCTGGCGGGTTCAGGTGGTGATTGTATGTAGAAGTCCGTGTGCTTTATTGGGCTAATGAAATATATATGGATCCTGTGTTTCGAAGCCGGATTTGGTAAAACGTTACTCTGACCACCTACGTGATACGGGTAGTCCCCATTAGAGATTCACGGCGCCATAAGCTCGTTGAACAGGCTTTGTGTGAAATATAACAAAGTCTAGGACTGCTTTTAGTATCCTGGTGGTCCAGCGGTTAGCGTTCCCCGGTCACAGTCATGGGCTCGTGGGCCGTGGGTTCGAATCCTGGCGGGTTGAGGTGTTGATTATATATATATATGTATATATATGCAAGTAAATCACTGTGGGTGCGCTTGATCCAGGTATATGCTGATAACCACAAGGAAAGATGAAAACACGCAGTTCCCAAGCGCTTTCGAGTAATTCACATCTTCAGTGATGAGTGCAGACTGCACACACCCCTGAAGATGTGAATTACACGAAAGGGCTTGGGAACTTCGTGTTTTCTTCTTTCCTTGTGGTTATCAGCACACACACATATATATATATATATATATATATATATATATATATATATATATATATATATATATATATATATATATATATATATATATATATATATATATATATATATATATATATATATATATATATATATATATATATATATATATATATATATATATATATATTCTATAAAAATGTCATTGAATTTCTATATAAGTATGTATTTCATGGGGCAAAGGGAGGCTCAAGAACGTAACTCCCATATTTCATTTATTTCTTATGGGGAAAATTGATCTGCTTAACGTTGTTTCGTATAATGTGGCATTTTCAGGAACGTACCCTAGATGTTAAATGAGGACTTACTGTATCTTGATACGTACGTCGTCTGCAGGGTAAGTGCAAATGGCGGCCCTGTTTCTAGAGAAATAAACTTATCTCGACTATTATAGCAGGATTTTAAACTTTTATTACAAATTATATATACATTATCACTCTACGAACGTGGCAGAGTGTATTTCTTGTGTTTACCCAAAACCGTCAACTCGTCAATTCTGTTCCAGCACTTGTACACAGCCAAGACTTAAAAGGTTGTGTACAACTGTCAGCACTTGGATGTTGTGAGGAACTTAACAAGGTTGTGTACAACTGTCAGCACTTGGATGTTGTGAGGAACTTAACAAGGTTGTGTACAACTGTGAACACTCTAGGATGTTGTAATGAACTTAACAAGGTTGTGTACAACTGTGAACACTCTAAGATGTGAAGAACTTAACAAGTCGTGTACAACTGTCAACAGTCTAGGTCTCTAGGATGTTGTGAAAAACAACTCATAACTCGCAGCTTCAGTCCCCGGACACTGGGTGATAAATTAATGTACAGTACCTTCTTCTTCCACTTTCTCACAGCACTGAAGGAGTCTCGGTCGGTGGTGGAGAAGGCGACGACACAGGCCTGGGCGCCCCTGTAGTAAGCCTTGGTGATAGCGTCGAACTCCTCCTGTCCTGCCGTGTCCCACAACATAAGCCGTACCTCCTCCCCACTCAACCTGTGTCCAACACGTGGTCAAGAATTATTTTTGCAGTCATCACTACTGTGTTACATTACACAACTAGAAACACAACTAATTATGCTAAATATATCTCACTCTAGATCATTGTCATCTATTATTATTATTATTATTATTATTATTTATTTTATTATTATTATTATTTATTATTATTATTATTTATTTTATTATTATTATTATTTTTTTTTTTATTATTATTATTATTATTACCACCACCACCACTGATACTACCACCACTACTACTACCACTACTACCACTATCACCTCCACCACTACACTACAGTACTACCACCACCGTCATGCCACCACTACTACTAATACCACCACCATTTTTTTTACAACGTGGTCTCCAGGCCCCCCCAATAGCCACACCTTCGCCACCATTTTATTACTGTAATATTAAATATTCTAATACAAAAGTAGCTACGCAAGCTGTGTTGAGTTAGTTAAGCCACAGATCTATGCCGCATTCAGTGACTGTTGCCTCAGAGTCATTTATCTGTGACTGTTGTTGGCTTTGGGGTAGAAGATCTCGTTCCCCTGAGGCAAAGCAATGCAGACTTAAGTAAAGAGAAGGAAAGGCGACATTTCAACCAGGCTACAACGTAGCTTCTGGGCTGCTACTTCAATCATATACAATAATACCTTGGCCAGGTTTGCGTAGAAGCATCTTGCACTTGGTCCTATCCCGCCAGAAGTTGTGAACACCAGAGGAGTGAAGCTGCCTTGATCCACATTCTGAATTCTCTTAGCTTATGCCCTTTTCTTGTCTTTCTCGTTTCTCTTGTGTGCAGACTCGAAAGACAGGTTACATTGACATGCGACCATGTGGTCGAATATCCTGATATTAAAGAAGGCTCGCTGTCCCCACATCCATAATCCTCGAGCACTGATGTCCACCGAGGCTTCGTTGTGTTTTGGAAGTTCTCAACGTTCAGTGGAAGGAGGGTAGGTTCCACCGTGACGTCATGGTAGATTTCCTTCAGTATATTTGCTGTGAGATCGCTTAATTCATCATGCTTCATGCATATGAAGCCCCATCTCTTGCACACCAAGGCGTAGTAAATGTCGTAGGATGAACCACACACTCATTGGGTGGACAAACCTTCTACTGGCCAACCATACCTTAGGCTTAGAGCAATGGCATCTGTTAATTCTTGTTTGTTAGCTAGTTCGAGGCGCCCACCTCCTGCACTGTAGCTACTTTTTTCTCAAATTCGCTGATAATGCTGCCGTTCTGTAGTAATGAACCGTCTAATCTTGTTTAATTCGTTGGTGTCCACCTCACTTGCTGCATTTTGAGCAATTATGTGTTCAGTGAGGGCTGCCGTTAGATTCACAGAGCTCCGATGTTCAGTGGCAGCAAGCTCATCTGGATTAGTAAATTCCATTCCTCCCAGTCTCGGGGTTAAGTGACGACTTTTCACTAGTGTTGGAATAAAAGCGACCTTGATGCCTTCTTCCAGAGGGTGGAGTAGAGATCCGATATCGTGGATAGTGCGCATCAAGTAGTTCCAGTATTAACAATATCAGACAAATCTTGGATTTCCTTCACTCACTCATTTACCTTTCCCATTACGTACTCGGTCTTGAAACCATTCGTGCCGATTACCGCACCTAGATATATTTGGCCGGCCTATTGTTATTTTGCCCTCAGTTCCGTTGAGCACTTCTATAGCCCGGGCATGATATTCTGGTTTTACAATGAGGAAGGACTTGCTGGCATTTGGGCAGTACCCTATTTGTGGACCTCATGTACACCTCTTGTTGAATCAAAATTTTCCGACTGAGTAGGATCACTGCTATCGTCCAGGATGTTGTCCTCACTTGACGGATCCCTGCCCAAGGGATTCTGGCTGCTGGTTCCTTTCCTACAATCCACACGACGTTGGTTACTTCTCACACACACACACACATACAGTTTGTGCATTTCTGGTTCAGGCCAGACCAGATGCACTGACAGTTTCCCTACTACTACCACCACCACCTCTACTACCACCACCACCAATGCTGCCACTACCACCACTACTACTACAACTATTACTTTTTTGAATAGTGGCCTCCAGCCTCTCCCAATACCCACACCTTCGCCACCATTTTATTACATTAAAATTAAATATCCTGATGCAAAAGTAGCTACCCTAGCTACTACTACTACTACTACCAATATTACTACCACCACAACTACCACAACGACTACCACTACCAGAGACACCACCACGACTACCACTATCACCACCACTACCACTACATCACCAATACTACTAGCACCATTATTACCACTACCACCACCAGCACCACCTCCATCACACACTCTCGTCGAGGACTCACGTGATCTGTCTCTCGAGGAAGTCAACGCCGATTGTCTTCTTGTAATCCTTGGTGAACGTGCCCTTACAGTACCGCTGGATCATCGAAGACTTCCCCACAGCGCCGTTACCCACGATCACCACCTGCAGGAGACCACACAAGTCACCACCTTACAGACAGACATAATAGTGATGGATGTCACCGTACCCGCGGAGTATCCATAATAATATCATAGATGCGGATGTTGCTGATTTGGTGAGCTTGGGATTCCTATAATATTTATATAACAGATATTTATATAATATATAAACATTTTATAACACACACACACTTACTACTACTACTGTATGACGCCATCACAATATTATTTAAATTTAGCTATCAGCAAAGTATACCTCGGTATATGACATTAATATTTTCGTAACTAATATAGTATGATTGATATTGCGTAGGAGATTTACCGATATTGCGTCGTAGACCGCCCAATTGGTATCCCGGGCTCTCTATAATGAAAACCATACGAGTATATTATGCAAGGATTAGTCATACCTCGTAATTTTGAATCATACCTCGTAATCTTAAGTCATACCTCGTAAACTTTAGTCATACCTCGTAATCTTGAGTCATACCTCGTAATCTTGAGTCATACCTCTTAAACTTTAGTCATACCTCGTAATCTTGAGTCATACCTCGTAATCTTGAGTCATACCTCGTAATATTGAGTCATTCCTCGTAAACTTTAGTCATACCTCGTAAACTTGAGTCATTCCTCGTAAACTTGAATCATACCTCGTAATATTGAGTCATTCCTCGTAAACTTTAGTCATACCTCGTAAACTTTAGTCATACCTCGTAATCTTGAGTCATACCTCGTAAACTTTAATCATACCTCGTAGTCTTGAGTTATACCTCGTAATATTGAGTCATTCCTCGTAAACTTTAGTCATACCTCGTAAACTTGAGCCATACCTCGTAATATTGAGTCATACCTCGTAATCTTGAGTCATACCTCGTAATCTTGAGTCATACCTCGTAATATCGAGCCATACCTCGCAATATTGAGTCATACCTCGTAATCTTGAGTCATACCTCGTAATCTTGAGTCATACCTCGTAATCTTGAGTCATACCTCGTAAACTTTAGTCATACCTCGTAATCTTGAGTCATACCTCAAAATCTTGAGTCATACCTCGTAATCTTGAGTCATACCTCGTTATCTTGAGTCATACCTCGTTATCTTGAGTCATACCTCGTTATCTTGAGTCATACCTCGTAATCTTGAGTCATACCTCGTAAACTTTAGTCATCCCTCGTAATCTTGAGTCATACCTCGTAATATTGAGTCATACCTCGTAATCTTGAGTCATACCTCGTAACCTTGAGTCACACCTCGTAATATTGAGTCATACCTCATAAACTTTAGTCATACCTCGTAATCTTGAAATCATACCTCGTAATCTTGAGTCATCCTTCGTAATCTTGAGTCATACCTCGTAATCTTGAATCATCCCTCGTAATCTTGAGTCATACCTCGTAAACTTGAATCATACCTCGCAATCTTGAGTCATACCTCGTAATCTTGAGTCATACCTCATAATCTTGAGTCATACCTCGTAATCTTGAGTCATACCTCGTAATCTTGTGTCATACCTTGTAATCTCGAATCATACCTCGTAATCTCGAGAAATACCTCATAATCTCGAGTCATACCTCGTATTCTCGAGCGCTCCTCTCAAGCGCTTGTGTCGAGATCTAGACAGTTTTTAACAGGCCGTGACCCAGTAAAGACGTATCGCCAATTACTATAGGCAGGGTCATACTCACGGCAGTCTCTGTATATATTAATTAGAGAATATATTTGTAAAGAAAATCAGTCAGAGACTATACTTGACCCCTTCAGTTAACTGAGTGAAAAGGAAATAAGTGTACGAGTTTGGATAAAACTGAATCAAGTTGAACTAGGTGACCAGTGGGTGAGAATAAAGACTATACTAGCCGACCGACCCAGATCCATGTCCACATTAAAGTAAGACCAATTATACTACTACTTTGCTGGCACTCGGAATCGAGTATGATGATCATCCAGCTATGATACAATGATATGAGTTATTAAGCTCTGAGGTGACACAAGAGGCCGATACGGGACCGGCAAGACCGTCCACAGATGTTGGCGAGGGTTCGGCGGCAGCGTCTTTCCCGCGTTGGCGCTTGTCTGCTTCGGTACGCCCAAGTAGCTCCACCCCGCCCCAACCCAAGTAGCTCCACCCCGCCCCTGCCCAAGTAGCTCCACCGCCCCAACCCAAGTAGCTCCACCCCGCCCCTACCCAAGTAGCTCCACCCGTCCTGCCCAAGTAGCTCCACCCGCCCATGCCCAAGTAGCTCCACCCCCCCTACCTAAGTAGCTCCATCCGCCCCTACCTAAGTAACTCCACCCCGTCCCTGGCCAAGTAGCTCCACCCGTCCCTGCCCAAGTAGCTCCACCCCGCCCCTGCCCAAGTAGCTCCACCCTGCCCTGCCCAAGTAGCTCCACCTCGCCTCTCTACCCAAGTAGCTCCACCTGCCCCTACCTAAGTGGCTCCACCCCGCCCCTACCTAAGTAGCTCCACCCCGCCCCCTGCCCAAGTAGCTCCACCCCTGCCCCTACCCAAGTAGCTCCACCCCCCCCTGCCCAAGTAGCTCCACCCCGCCCCCAGCCCCGTGCCCAAGCTCCACCCTGCCCTGCCCAAACACCTCGCCTCTACCCAAGTAGCCACCTGCCCCTGCCCAAGTAGCTCCACCTCGCCTCTGCCCAAGTAGCTCCACCTCGTTCCTACCCAAGTTGCTCCACCTCGCCTCTACCTAAGTAGCTCCACCCCGCCTCAACCCAAGTAGCTCCACCTCGCCTCTACCCAAGTAGCTCCACCTCGCCTCTGCCCAAGTAGCTCCGTCCACAGTTCCTTGTATTGTCCGTTAGTCTCAACTGTTGTTGTTGTTATCGTTACTTGCGATATTTGTTTTTACTTTGTATTTTATTGAATAATTTGCAACATCATCTTTACAATGGGGGAGCCAAAGTCAACGCACCTCAGTGGGGGTCACCGTCAACACACCTCAGGTCAATGGAAATCACCGTCAACACACCTCAGTTCAGTAGGAGTCATCGTCAACGCAACTCAGCTCAGTGGGAGTCACCGTCAACGCACTTCAGCTCAGCGGGGGTCACCGTCAAAGCACCTCAGGTCAGCGGGGGTCACCGTCATCGCACCTCAGCTCAGCGGGTGTTACTGTCACCGCACCTGAGCTCAGTGGGGGTCACCGTCACCGCACCTCAGCTCAGTGGGGTCACCGTCAACACACTTCAGCTCAGTGGGGTCACCGTCAACGCACTCAGCTCAGTGAAAGTCACCGTCAATGCACCTCAGCTCAGTGGGTGTTACTGTCACCGCACCTCAGCTCAGTGGGGTTACCATCAACGCACCCCAGCTCAGTGGGGTCACCGTCAATGCACCTCAGCTCAGCGGGTCACCGTCAACACCTCAGCTCAGTGGGGGTCAACGTCAATGCACCTCAGCTCAGCGGGGTCACCGCCACAGCACTTCAGCTCACTGGGGTCACCGTCAACGCACCTCAGTGGTAGTCACCATCAACGCCCCTCTGTGAAGTCACCGTCAACACCTCTCACCTCAGTGGGGTCACCGTCAACACACCTCAGCTCAGCTCAGTGGGGGTCACACATCAACGCACCTCCAGCTCAGTGAAGTCACCGTCGGCACCTCAGCTCAGTGGTCACCGTCAACGCACCTCAGCTCAGTCACCGGCACTGCACCTCAGCTCAGTGGGGGTCATCGTCACCACCCTCAGCTCAGTGGGGTCACCGTCAACACACTTTAGCTCAGTGGGGTCACCGTCACTGCACCTCAGCTCAGTGGGGTCACCGTCAACGCCCTCAGCTCAGTGGGGTCATCGTCACTGCACCCAGCTCAGTGGGGGTCACCATCACCGCACCCCAGCTGGGGGTTACCGTCAACGCACCTCAGCTCAGTGGGGGTCATCGTCACTGCACCTCAGCTCAGTGGGGGTCACCGTCAACGCACCTCAGCTCAGTGGGGTCATCGTCACCGCACCTCAGCTCAGTGAAAGTCACCGTCAACGCACCTCAGCTCAGTGGGGTCACCGTCAACGCACCTCAGTGGAAGTCACCATCAACGCCCTCTCTGGAAGTCACCATCAACGCACCTCAGCTCAGTGAAAGTCACCGCCAACTCAGCTCAGCGGGGTCACCATCACCGCATTTCAGCTCAGTGAGTCACCGTCAACGCACCTCAGTGGAAGTCACCATCAACGCCCCTCTGTGGAAGTCACGTCAACGCACTCAGCTCAGTGGGGTCACCGTCACCACACCTCAGCGGGGTCACCGTCAACACACTTCAGCTCAGTGGGGGTCACCATCAACGCACCTCTGCTCAGTGAAAGTCACCGTCAACGCACCTCAGCTCAGCGGGGTCACCGTCACCACACCTCAGCTCAGTGGGGTCATCCACCGCCCTCAGCTCAGTGGGGGTCACCGTCAACACGATTCAGCTCCAGTGGGGATCACCGTCACCGCACCTCAGCTCAGTGGGGTCACTGTCACCCCTCAGCTCACTGGGGTCACCGTCACCGCACCTCAGCTCAGTGGGGTCACCGTCACCGCACCTCAGCTCAGTGGGGTCATCGTCACCTCCCTCAGCTCAGTGAAAGTCACCGTCAACGCACTCAGCTCAGTGGGGGTCACCGTCAATGCACTTCAGTGGAAGTCACCATCAACGCCCTCTCTGGAAGTCACCGTCAACACCTCAGCTCAGTGGGGTCACCGTCACCGCACCTCAGCTCAGCGGGGGTCACCGTCACAGGCTCAGTGCGGGTCACCGTCAACGCACCTCAGTGGAAGTTACCATCAACGCCCCTCTGTGGAAGTCATCGTCAACGCACCTCAGCTCAGTGGGGGTCACCGTCAACGCACCTTAGTGGAAGTCACCATCAACGCCCCTCTGAAATCACCGTCAACGCACTCAGCTCAGTGGGCGTCACCGTCAACGCACCTCAGCTCAGCTCACCGTCACCGCACCTCAGCTCAGTGGGGTCACCGTCAGCGCACTTCAGCTCAGTGGGGTCACCGTCACGC